TGTCAGGACATGGAACCTGGGGCTGCCACCTTTATTTAATTAGGCAAAAATGAATTTGCACATGCCTGTGCATACAGAATAATCACTTACTGTAACTGAATGTTGGTTTTGGTATGCCCTTCTCCCAATGAGACAGCATCTAGAAAGATCAAACGATGACTTATTACAATGCAGTATGCACAGTGGGGACGCAGTGTGTCATGTTGCATCTTCATTATAGATCTTGTCCTGAGACCCAATTAACAGGCCTGTTATTCACTTTCATTAAAATCAGGTTAGCAACAAAATGAAGGCAGGAGTGTTTTTATGCTATCCTAGAGCAAACGATGAAATTGGGTTTGCCCTGTGAGTTTCCTTTAATCCTGCTGTGTTCCTTTCCCATGAGCTCAGGCCTGAAGCTGTGACCGTGTTCTAGGGGACTGCTGATGGGGTGAGAGGCCGTGGATATTGAAGGGAGTCAGACATACACCTCCCTCCCTACAGACACACACACGAAGCTGCCTCTCTGCTCAGGGCTTTGTGCAACATCATCTCCAGGGCCATTCTGGGAGAACCCTAAGCTTAGCCGGGGAATGCAGCCCTCCAGTCTGCCACGGACCCCAGAGTTTCCACCGTGTTGGGTACCACTTCACACAGCAGCTCTTCACTGGACACTCATATGGAGACCTGTGCAATCCTCTGACACAACGTGTGCCCTATCTACCGAGAAGGGTGTTCTTCTAGGACCGGTGTTTGAGGGCCAGGGAAAGGTTAAGAAACACATCAGCTTTCTCAGGTCTGTTGAGACTGAAGGAAGTTAGAAGGAATTTAGTCTTGGGAGTCAGATGAATTTGGATTTAAATCGTCTCCATGTGTTTTAGCTGTGTGGCATTGGACAGGCTACAGAACCTCTCTGAACCACCATTTTCCCAACCATAAAGCAGAGGTAAAAATATCTGTTTGACGGGAATAAAAAGAAAAATAGTAAGTGATGGATTTCCCTTTTCTCTTTCATCCCCTGAGCACAAATGAAAGCAGATACCTGCTTTGCGTTGTTCTGGGCTGAGTCTCCCCAGCAACCATCCTAGTGCCTGCCACATGGAAGGCACCAAGTGTTGGTTGAATGGATGACTGACTGCGTGCTTGGATGAAGTGCCTTGGTTTGCTGCCCAGATGAGATCTCTGTAGCCCTTTTCCAGGAGAGACCTTGGTGCTATCCTTGTTTTGACCTTCCTAAGAGAGTTAGATTCACGTCCTGCCCCAAATCTTTCTGGATACATGACAAGTTTAGAGTTGTTTATCCTTTTCTGAAAATCATGATCTGTGTTGGGTGCTTTGTCTGTGTCAAAGCTGGGAAAACTAAAACTTGGGGGTCAAATCTGGCCCTTTGCCCCTTTTTGGAAATAAAGTTTTATTGAGATACAGCCATGCGCATTGATTCGCTTGTTTTCTTTGACTGCCTTTGGCTTTAGCAGAGCTGAAGAGGTGAGACAGAGACCATATGGACTGCATAGCCTAAAATATGTAGTATTTGACTCTTTTCAGAAAATGCTTACCAACCTCTAATATATATATTTGTACTCTTTTGCTATAACCCTGCAAGATTGATCTTAAGATGTGTCGCTCCCCCTCTTCGTGGAGGAACGACACAGGACCCTGCGCTGTTCTTTCGTCTGCTCGGCCCTCCCCGGGTTTGCTGCTGGTTCTTCCCGGGTTGGCTACTATCCCTTCCACCTCCGTGGAAGGGCAGTTCCCCCTGGCCACATTCCCCACTTCCGCAGGGGAGCGGCACACCGCCGGCCGGCTTTCTCGGGGGCTGCACGGGTTCCCTTAGATGTTCCCCATAGATGTTTCCCATAGATGTTCCCGGTGCATGCCGTCTCTCTCCTCCTTTATAGTCCTCCTCCGCCAATCCCAACTCGGCTGCCCACACGCCGAGTACGCTGCTCTCCTCCAATCAGGAGCAAGTCCTACAGTTTATTAGTTGAACTGGAGGCAGCTGTGCGGAAGCTGTTTACTTCTCTCCCAGCGCCATATTGTGGGAGAGCAGATGCATAGAATAAGTCTTAATTCCAGTAACTCAGTCCAGTCCGGATTGCTCCCCACAAAGATGCCCTTTCCATAGGGAGTTATGAACAAAAAACAGTTAGGTTTTGTGGTGGAGGTTTGCGTGCAGGTCCTGCTCTTTCCGTTTAGCACCCTACCTGAACTGACTCTTCTGGTCCTGTCATGTGACCATAGCTGGCAGGGGGAGTAGTCGACAGTGTCCCCTGGAGTTGTGGCTCAACGTGGCAGTCCCAGCTTCTGTCAGCATTAATTGTGTGGATGTCTAAGCAGGCAAGAAAATGGAATGAGGATTTCTAGGGCAAAGGCTGCAGATGGCAGGGTAACATGGACATGCAATAGTTTATATGCAAATGCAATGCTGCGCCCCAGGAGTCAACAGGTTGAACATTTCCAAAGGATCCTTGTTGGTGCTGAAGGTGGCATCCACACTTGTTGCGTGCCCTTGATGATGAATAATGTGTGATGCTTGTGCTTTCTTCAGCCCATGGCTACCTAATAGACTTCTCCAGCTCCAGGCTATTAGTCTGTGAGGGTTGTTGTGAATTCTCTCTTCCAGCTCCCACCCCTGCCTGGGACCATACCCTCACTGGCAGATCTGCCTCCAAATTCAAGATGAAAGTCCTTTCCCAGTGACCTAATCTAACCTTGATGGTTTCAAGGGTTTCAGATGAAGTTCTGTGCTTTTTCTGTTAGTCCCCCATCTGCTTGTAATTTCCACTTCTCACTCTACCTTCACCCTTTGAGTTTTTGCAAAATTATCAACTGGTTATGATTGAACAAAAGAAACAGCATTGGAAAAATTGCCTATTCCTGCTCCAAGGGACTGCACAGAGGTATTTGCCTTGTAGCTACGACACATGCTGACAGTGAAGATAACAGGGGCAAAATTGTAACCACCCAACTGGAAGTAACACCGTTAGGTAATTTACCCATGTGGCAAAAGGGGTATCTAATGAAAACTGGCGCTAGTGTTAATCACCTATCATATAAGAACGGATATTGCAGCCCTGGGTTTGAGAGGGAAGAGCTGAGAAGGGCAGGAAGGCCAGGGTTCTTCCTGATGGCGTTTTCAGCTTGGTCTTTGTGGCTGGCACTAGGGAGGTCCATCTCTTGCAAAGCTGCTAACAGAAGATTCCACAGACAAGCAGCAGAGCTGCAGGTGCACCGGGGGAATGAGAGCTATAATTAACTTTCTATTTCATTGTATTTTACAACAGTGACCCTTAATTCTCCAAAGACGTTAACCTATTGTCCACCCCTGTGGCTGTCCCACTGTCTAAAAGTCAATGACTTTCAGCTTTTGCTGAAAATAGAAAGCTGATAAAAATGGGGCTCCCCAGGTTTCAGTAGGGGTGGAGGAGCCTGGTAAAATGAAGTAACATTTATTTTGCCAGTGTAACTCCATGGGGAAATAAAAGGCTGATTAATATTCTTTGTTGTTTAATTATTTAGAGTGAATGCTTCTAACTAAAGAATATTTTTGTCCTCATAGCTTTTAGTTTATTCCTCACATATTTTAGTGCCCTGTGGTTTTTTTAATTTATTTTTTAGGTTTTAAAATATCCAAGTAGCTCTTCATTCATTCATTCATTTTCATTACACCAAATAATGTTGCAAGTAATGTTGTTCCTTCTCATTGGCCAGGATTATCAGTGGTCTGTTTTTAATTCTTTCACAAACATGTGCTTATTACAAACCAGTCACAGAATTCAAGTCCACCTCCTGATGGATACTAGCGAGTAAATTATTTTACAATGTTATTTAAGTTATACAAGTTTCATGTATTTTATGTATACAAAGGAACATACTTCCCACCCTAGATTCCCTCCGGCCCATGCTCCAACCCTTCTTCCTCCCCCCTTTCTCTCATTCCCAGTATTTTTACAAAGACCTACTTTTTTGTTTTTGTTTTTTTTTTGGCAGGCAGAGTGGACAGTGAGAGAGAGAGACAGGTCTTCCTTTGCCGTTGGTTCATCCTCCAATGGCCATTGCGGCCGGCGCACTGCAGCCAGCGCACCGTGCTGATCCAATGGCAGGAGCCAGGTACTTCTCCTGGTCTCCCATGGGGTGCAGGGCCCAAGCACTTGGGCCATCTCCACTGCACTCCCGGGCCACAGCAGAGAGCTGGCCTGGAAGGGGGGCAACCGGGACAAAATCCGGCACCCTGACCGGGACTAGAACCCAGGGTGCCGGCGCCGCAAGGCGGAGGATTAGCCTAGTGAGCCACGGCGCCGGCTACAAAGACCTACTTTCAGTTTACTTAATGATTGTAAAGTTATCTCTACACTAAGTAAAAGAGTTCAACAAATACTTGAAGGGAAAAAAAACACCATTCCTCAACAGAAGAGACAAAGGCTACAAACAATCATTGAATCTCAAAATGTCCATTTCACTCCAGTACATTACATTTTAGGCATGAATAAATTTTTAAACTATCAATAATTCTTGAATACTTTTGAGTTTGGAAGTAATTGATAACTAGGTAGGATTTCAGTTTATATTGATGAGGTGGCGGAATGCCGGTGGTGATGTAATTACTTCTACATGAAGAAGGGAGTTGAGCAAGGCGGATACATCTGTAGGCATGGTGCGCCTGTGTCTTGTTCACCCCAGGTGTTCTGGATGTGAGCAATTGCCTTAATCTGAGAAGCAGCAAAGCGTGCTCATGGACCAACCCAGCGGGTACTAATTAGCGAGCCACAGACTAATCAGCGAAAGGCCTCATGTTTGAGCTCCCCATAGCCATACTGAGAAGGCAGAGTTGCTGATAGGCTATTGTGTCTGCACAGCATTCGGCCATGTGCTTTTTAGGAGAAGCCCGTGTGCACTTTCGTTACTGGTTGTAGTTTTTGTGAGCGGTGGTGGTGTTTGGGGGTGGATGTACATAAGGCTTATATTGCTTGACTGCCAACTTCGCTGAGCTCACATGTGATCCTTATTGATGTGTTTGCCAGGGAGAAATGCCTGCTCCCTCTCCAGTTGGCTTTGGAATCCAAGAATGTGAAGCTGGCCCAACACGCCTTGGCAGGGATGCAGGTATGGCTTTGAATGCAGTGGGGTGACAGATATTGACAGGCCACTTTGGTACTGAAAGAGCAAATAGTTAACTTTTTAAATTCTAGCAGTTTCAAGACTCTGAAATTTACTGTTTATGGGTGAAATGGTCATTTTTCCATTTAATTATTGTTTGTAGCTATTGTCTATATTCTCACTAAATGAGGTCTTTTTGCTTTTTACTTGTTAAACTTATTTGGTGAAGCAATGTCTTTTTACTGTAAATAAATTTAAAATATGTTATTTCACAAACTAAAAACTAGGAAAGGGAGAAGGAAAAAGGGTGAGAAGGAAGAAGGTTGGGAGGGAATATCATGTTGTTTTTTTTTTTTCTAAAGATTTTATTTATTTACTTGAGAGGTAGAGCTATAGATAGAGAGGGAGAGACATAGAGAAAGGTCTTTCCTGCACTGGTTCACTCCCCAAGTGGCCACCACAGCCAGAGCTGGGATGCTCAGGAGCCAGGAGCTTCTTCTGGGTCTCCCACATGGGTGCAGGGGCCCAAGCACTTGGGCCATCTTCTACAGCTTTCCCATAGGCAGAGAACTGGTTTGGAAGAGAGGAAGCCGGGACACAAACCAGTGCCCATATGGGATGCTGGTGCTGAAGGCAGAGGCTTAGCCTACTATGCAACAGTGCCGGCCCCCATTATATCCTGTAGAATTGTATCTACAAAGGACATTGAATCTGTTAAAAAAACTATTTAAAAATGTTTAAAAATGCCATATTTGTTAAAAAAAGAAATTAAGGTTAAAATCAATTGATTTTTCCATCTGAACATATTATGCCTGTCTACGACCAATTGGCATACAGTTCTTGGGACACCTATTGTAACCTCTTTTGTTCACCTTAATTTATTTGTTAATATCTAATACTTTCTGTGATAAAAAAATTTGCCTATTTCCATTTTTTGTACAAAATATTCAGGATTCTAAAGTGAAGGCATATCTAATTTCAGGCTACTGTATTTGAAAATTTCAAAGAAAGAGAAAATCTGTTGATTTTGTAGGTAAAAAACTTTTTAAAAAGACTCAGAAATTTGATTGAACCAGAAATTAACCATAGATGAAGACAGCTTTCCTTATAGCCAGCAGAATTTCTTTGCACACTGTCACTGGGTTGAACCTTTGTAGTCAGACCCTGAAGCATGTGGACCCAGCTGAGTTCACACAGATATGAAGGGAACATTCTTGTGGCATCCAACTTCTAGAAGAAAAAAGGATCCCAAGAAAGAGATCCTAGGTTCATACCAAGTCAGATCTTATGTACATTTTAAACATCTGTGATTCTGAATGGTGAGAATGGATGGCAAACTAGATTGTATGTTGTTTTTAATCTACAGTTAGATTGGCAAATGAATTTCTGTTCAGCAATGGACCACATGTACACCATGGTTCTATGATATTATAACAAAGCTGCAAACTTCCTGTCACCTAGTTTTTAAAATTGTACTTTTTCTATCTATAGATAGGGTTAGAGATACAAATAGCATTGTGTTACACAGTAGCATCTTGTACAGGTTTGCAACCTAGGAGCAATAGGCTACACCATTTAGCCCAGGTGTGTGAAAGGCTGTACGTCTATGCCTGTGTAAGTACACTCCATGATGTTCACACAATGAAATGGCTTAATGATGTGTTTCTCTGGATGAATCCCCAGTATTAAGCAAATGCACAACTATATTTTGTTTCCAAAGCAAGGCTGGGAAGGAAAAAAGAATTTGGTTAAATAGGAAGTCAGATTGTTTGAACACATTTCCTTCTCTGAGCATTTGGGTCCAATTCCAACAGGGACAGGGTGATGACTGTATTACTACCACACTGACTTTTAGGAGTCTGTTTGTGAGACACAGGCTCTGTGAAGGTCAAGTCTGGGGCTTGGGGGAGCTTGTCCAGTGTGGTCCTGGGTTAGTGACAATTGTCCAATGTCTTTTCATGTCAGTAAGGTCTTATCTCATAGCTACTGTCTTAAGTTCAAGGATGTCCCTGATACTTTTTGAAAGTTACTATATACAGAAGACTTAGAAAGCAGCTCTCCCCCTGGCCGTTGAATTTGAATTAGTTATTGTAAATTTTCATATGTAACAGGTGTGAAATTTGTAAACTCTGTTGGTAACATTGAAAACGTCTTGCTTTTCTCCACGGTAACTAGGCCAGCAGCAAAGATGAATGAGAGTTTGTTTGACCTGCCACTTTGGTTCCTTTTTCTCTAGCATTATGTAGTTGTTTTCAAACCCCTGCTGTTTGAGCAGCCACATCATGTTGTCAGGGGTTTATTTAATTGTGAGTTTCCATGCCTTGGTGCGGGTGAGCTTTTCATTGAGCATCCTTTGCTGCCTCCTGGTAACTTTCACACCTTATTAGACCTTCCCAGTCTTATCATTTCAAGGAAAAACCGCTTTGTATATAAACTTGAACTGTTGGCTGACCTGAACATACTACATGATTCTGAACATCCTCTTTGAAAAAATATTGGGTACTAAGTCAGAGAGTCTTAAGTAGGAACGTTTGGAATACCTGTTTTCCAGCTTGGCAGCAGCAGGACGGTCAAAGAGGGAGTTACAAGGAGAATGCCACAGGGTCCTTACAGGCTGCACCTGTTGGCCACGTGGGGCGAGAACACGTCAAACAGGGAGGTGCATAAACTCCTGTGCGGAGGCCTCAGAAATCAACCGTCCAGGAAAGGCTGGGAGAGAGTGGCTTACCCACAACTCTCAGGAGTGAGATTTGAGGGCTTCAGGGTGAGTCAGCCTAGAATGTGCCATGACTACCGGCTAAGCTCATCTGGCCTTAGAATGTGACTCGGGGTGTGTGACTCTTCCTTATCACCCCGTCCTGGAAGTCCTCAGGGGCGTTTGCTCCGGTGGCCACATCCTGAGTAGCAGAATACAGGTGAGGCCTCGGCATTGTGCAGAGAACCTTCGGGGAGGCCAAGGGGCTGGAGTACGGGCAAGAAGAGGCTTGGGGGGCTTCAAGGCTGGCTCCAGATATTCCGGAAAGGGCAATCCCCGGATAGCTGCCTTTAGACGTTGTGAAATGCAATATCTGTGGTCTCAGGGGACAGTGAGGGAGTCAGATTTGTTGCTAGGCAGGGTTTGGTACAATCTCAGGTCGAATTTTAAGCAAAAATAAGAGTTGTCTGTATAGTGCAAAGGGCTATCCTGTAAGATGGACCCACGGGAATCTTCCGGAAACTGTCTCCCTTTTGAGGTTTTTGTGGGATGCATTTTCTGACGGGGAAATACATTAAGGTTTTTGGATTAATGGGTAATTCCTGACCCAGGGCAGCTCACGCAGGAAGTCAAAAGATAAATGACTAAGAACTTGTCTGTTTCCTGGGACAAAGCGACACTCAAGGGGTGTGTGTGTGTATTGAGTGCAGCTGAACTCCCCTTAACACATTCATCCTCCTTTCCCTCTACAAATAACTGGAAGGGCCACACATTAGAATTTTGCTCCCTGAAATTTAGAGGGCGTTATCATGGACTAGGAAATGGTCTTCACCCAAAAGTGTTTAATCAGGATTGGATGCATTTTCTTGTTAATGGGATATTAAAGGCCTCCAGCTACATGTCTCCCAAGTTAAAAAAAAAAATCATCTATACAGAATGTGACACAACAGACTGAGGCAGTGGGGAGAGCCTGTCTGCTCACTGCCCTGTGTCTCTTTGCAGAAGCTTCTGGCAGAAGAGAGGTTTGTATCCATGGAAACAGACTCTGATGAGAAGCAGCTGCTCAACCAGATCCTGAATGCCGTGAAAGTGACGCCTTCACTAAATGAAGACCTGCAGGTGGAAGTGATGAAGGTTGGTTTGGCCCCACTGCACGTCCCTGGGGCGGAAGCGCACTCTGACCCCCAGCACCCATTGCTGTCTTGAAGCTGCCTCTGCATGTGGTCACCATGCATTTGGAATAGATGGTTATTATCCTGGCTTGTGGTCCCCCTAAATTACCTGGCCCGTATAACAAGAGAGAGTTATAATCTTAATACGTCTGAAGATTTTTGTCCTGGTACTGCAAAGCAAGTGTTGTTAGGAAATGTACTTACTACCATTTAAGAGAATGTGAGTAGTTCCATTGGGGTCGATTAGATGGATTATCCTGGCTTTTCTGCAAAGATCTAACCATGTGTTGATCCACCCTGAGGTTTCGGCAGTCTAGGGGAAGAAGACCATCCTTGGGAGGCCTTAGCGTCTCATCTTTTTTTTCCTGTCTCCAGTTTTATGAACCATCTCTCCCTCATTCCATTTATCACCTCCCTTTAGGCCTGGCATTTCTACCTTGCCTTTCTCCTTCCCTTGGCAATCACCAGGATTGGGTGTCCCGTGGGCTACCTGGAATGGGTACTGTCTTGTGAGTGAGCGGTGGGTTGGGCAGAACAGGATAGAAATCTCTGCCCCAGAACCGTGCTTTGATCAGGGTAGCAAGGCTTTTAGTAATGCTGCCCTTCCCTCCCTAGAGGAACACATGGAAAGGAGTATTCAAGAACCGTTTCCTGAGGACTTCACTTCCACGGGTGTTAGTTTCTCCGTTCAGAAAAGAGAAGATTGATTTCCATCTTGACGCTTTCCTCCTGCCCGGGCCTCCTCCTAACCTTGTTGGTGGGTGGTTTAGGGTAGTGACGAAGAGCTCAGACTCTGGAGCCCGCCTGTCTTGGTCGACTTTTCCTTCCTCCATTTCCTGGCTGGATGACCTTAGATAGAACCCTGAACTGCCCTGGGGCTTCATCTTCCATTTGACAGATGAGGAGAAATAGTGGTGCCCACCCAACAGCATTGTTTTGAAGCTTAAATAAGGTGACATGTGTAAAGAATTTAGTATAGTAACAGAACAATAGCAAGTGCTTTAGAAGTGTTGTATACAAGGGGGCTTCAAAAAGTTGGTGGAAAATGGAATAAAAGGTAAGTTTATTTTGGTGTGGGGGAAAATGGAAATCCATGCATACTTTTTTAATAATGTGTCAAAAAAAATAATAATAATGTGCATATTCCATGAACTTTTTGAAGACCTGTCATGTTACCACTGCTGTCCTCATTCCCTTTGCTGCTGGGGGAGAGAATCTCAGTTGAGGGGCTGGGCATGTGACCTGTTCACCAGTGTCCCAGGCAAGTGTCCAACGCAGAAGACATGGGTCACCCTGAAGCTAGCGGCTCCTTAAGATCGCATTCATTTTTAACCCATTTGATTCTGGAATGTACAATTCTGCCTTAGCTTTCAACATAAGCTCAGAGATTGTGTTATTCTGGAAGTTCTGGGAGTAAGTTTTTTGTGGAATTCCAAAATCTGTATTACAATTAAAAGGAGGAAGTGCCTATTCTTGTAGGCACCATGAAAAAGCAGGGTGTTCAGTGGCTCTATCAACAGTAACCCCCGTTCTGAAAACTTGTGTTTGCATTCGAATTCCAGCCCAGCCGTGCCTTCTGCCTGCCTTGCTGAGAGAGGTGTTGACATGGGTGGACTCCTGGCAACTGAAAAAAAAGCCATCTTACTGGGCTTTCTTTTTTTTTTTTTTTTTTTTTTTTTTTTTTTTTGACAGGCAGAGTGGACAGTGAGAGAGAGAGACAGAGAGAAAGGTCTTCCTTTTTGCCGTTGGTTCACCCTCCAATGGCCGCCGCGGCCAGCGCGCTGCGACCAGCGCACCGCGCTGATCCGATGGCAGGAGCCAGGAGCCAGGTGCTTCTCCTGGTCTCCCATGGGGTGCAGGGCCCAAGCACCTGGGCCATCCTCCACTGCACTCCCTGGCCATAGCAGAGAGCTGGCCTGGAAGAGGGGCAACCGGGACAGAATCCGGCGCCCCGACCGGGACTAGAACCCGGTGTGCCGACGCCGCTAGGCGGAGGATTAGCCTAGTGAGCCGCGGCGCCGGCCCTGGGCTTTCTTTTTTTAAAGATTTATTTTTTTGTTTGAGAGAGGGGGAGGGGTCTTCCATCTGACGGTTCACTCGCCAAGTGACTGTAGCTGCCAGGACTGAACCAGACCAAAGCCAGGAGCCTCATTCTGTTCCCTCATGTAGGTGGCAGGGGCCCAAGCACCTGGGCCATCCTCCATTGCTTTTCCCAGGCCATAGGCAGAGCTGGATCAGAAGTGGAGCAGCAGGAACATGAACTGGAACCCATATGGGATGCTGATGTTGTGGGCGGTGGCCCACCCTCTATGCCACAACACCAGCCCGATTAGTCAGCTTTCAAATGGCACACCATATGTAAAGGACCACGGTACTTTTAGTCGATGTCTGAGAGGAAAGTCAGACACTCTCAGAACAAAGAAAAGTAATATATGAGCTTTCACTCAGATTTCCAGAATGCGTAAGAGCATAAGGACCTTTGCTACATGTTGTTATTTTTTGATTTATATATTGAAATTGGGAAGAATTTTTCAACTCAAACCCAGCATTAGGGCGACTTATGCTCTTATTTTAGACAAACACTTTTAACCAAAGTGCTAGAAAATGGATGACATGGTAACCAAACTAGGTAATATTATTAGCATCAAATAAAACTTCATGGATGGTTGTCTCATTGTGATAGTCAGAGATGAGGGCTCCATGGCCGTTTCCTTCTCCTGAGATTTAAAATACCCATTTGGGTATAAGGGTTGATCCAAATTAAAGAATTTCTGGCTTAGAATAATCAGGTTTTTTATTGTTGTTGTTACCTCCTGTCTGTATGCAGAGGGAACACCTATACCCATTTTGTAGTGATCTGTTCAGTCTTTGGTCCCTTTATCCTACCCTTCTGTATGTCTTGTTCTGTATGTCTTGTCATGATCCAAGGAATAACTCTTCACCAAAGCCTTGTTTGGCTAAGACCACTACTATGTTAAAATGGTTTTACCACCTATTCTCCCAAATACTGTATTTTAGACCAAAAAAAAAAAAAAGATGACTCCTTGGAGGAAGGATTAGATTCCATTAATACGGAGGGTATGTTAGTCCAGTCTTGTGCTTTTGCATACCTCATTCTGATGATAAGTTTATATTTCCTGTAAAAATCCTCTCGTCATTTTATATAAGTATTTTGAAGATGTTAAACTTTTTAAGATGTGACACAGTAAACATTTGTAACTCTTGGTCTGGGAATACTGTTCAGGAGGAATAAAGCACTGTTATGAAGTTTTATCTCTGTCCACCAATGGCATGGACACTGTTAGATTAAATCATAGACATTATTTGTTAAAAGGCATCAGGCGTTTTATTCACATATCGCTCTCTACTAGTCCTTAGAAACATGAGAAGCTGAATCCTGTCACATTCTTGAGAGTTTGCAGTCACTATCTGAAATTCCCAGAGAGGAAATAATCATCTCTCTTAGTGATTGCCCCCCAATTAAGCAGAATCCAGCTCATAACAAACCCAACATTCCCGATGATAGTGTTTTCATTTAGGGAGAAAGCCCCATCAGAATGTTAAAGAAAATCAGAGATGCTTGCTTCGGACAAATAGGAATGAAGTGAAATTACCTCCTCACTCTCTGTATACTACTTAACAGGACGGGGAGAAAATGCAACTATGACTTACTGCAATGGCTAGGAAACCTAAACAGAATTTTCTGGCTTGGACAAAGTGTCAGAGCTGTGAAGAATCAGCAAGAAGTTTCCTCTAAAGATAGAGTACCTTTGAAATGGTTAGTAGGTAGATGGTAATTAGGTTAAGTAACCTCTTCCCATGCTCTGTGTGCCATTTCTGTAAAGGCGAGGCAGACTTCGGAAGAGCCCGGAATGTAACTAATGCCATCTCTGGTTGCAGTAAATAGGACTTCCCTTCCTTCTTTCTAATGCGGAACCTTTAGTGAGGTTATTACCGGACACCCTGGCTGAGTCTGCGAAGCCAGAAAGGAACTGTGGGGGGAGGCAGGGGGAGGCAGGGGTGGGACATGGACGTCCTATCTCCGGAGTGCTGGCTTTGGCAATAAGGCAGGAGGTCATCTTGGATCCTGGGTAGTCGTGTGCTGAGTGATCTATTTCTGGTTGTCTTATTTCACGTGCATCTTTAGATTGTAGACGTGAATATTGGCAGGGTTTTCAGGCAGAAATGACAGGGGATGATTATTTAACATGGATTCTGCATCGGGCACTCTGCTTTGTGCTTTATATTCCTCCTGTGGTCACCCAGCTAGTGAAATGATGGGACCAGAATGTGAACCTTAGCGGCTTGAGGCCAAACCTGTGCTCCTTAACTTGGAGCCTGCTGAGTTGGTCCTGAGAGGCCCTTCAGCGGGAGCCAGCACTCCCCATTGTAGAGGTGACTGAGCAGAATAGTGAAGACACTGGCTAATGAGAGTAACGCTAGAGTGCTTCAGAGTCTCCTGTGGTTGCTGTATCCTCCCGTGATGCTCCCTCACTGGTTCTATGAGCTAGGTTCAAATATGAAAATCAAATCAACTCTAGTTCTACCAAATTAGCTAATCGCTGTGGTTTGTGAGAGAGGTGGGAAGGGAGGAGCGTGTCCTTTGCTGTTGAGGAATTTGTATTTATCAGAAAGTTAGCAAATACCTATAGAAAACAAGAGGAATCTTCAAAAAGTTAGTGGAAAATGCATATTATGTACAAAAATAATCTGTGGATTTCAAAAAATTTTTATGCAGAAGTGAACTTTAACTTTCATTTACCAAGAAGATACTGACATATCTGCATACAAAGGTGAGTGATTTATGGACACAGGGTTTACCCTGTGTGTGGTTGGGAGTCCTACCTTCAGGGTGTCCACTCAGAACTCTGAGAGGAGTATGCTTCTAAATTCAGTATGAATATCATCAGTGTAGTCAGTGTCTTGATCTGGGTGTAAGAAACAGGCCAAACGGAAGGACCA